ATGCTTTTGAAGATTTCCTTTCTTAAGCGTATTTTAATGTTATCTGTCCTCGTTCTCATTACAAACAATAAGCTCTTGCACTGCTCCGTATTTACAGACGCATAATAATTGAGTAACTGGTGCTTAATTCGTTCTTGGCTTATTACTTTTGATTCGAAACCGTGAAACGACATTGTCTTCGTTTTCTTCATTCGCGTGCTGACCCTTGTCTCTTTCGCGGTCGAGTTGTGCACGCTTAAACGACAATAAAGGTGCGCAGTTGAGAGAGAGTAAATGCTGTACTAGATGGACGGTTTGTGAAAGCATTGTTTCCCCAAACAATGCAACATATTTCAATGGTACTTGAAAGTAAGCAGACAGCCAATGCATTGTTGCTCGGTATCTACCGCGTGCCAGGAAACTTTGCGTCCTCTCTAGCTGCTAGTAAAAAGTTATAAGAAATCCGTTCAATAGCGCGACGTGTCACAGAGGGAACGTAGAAATTTCATTTCAAATCAATAGAGGCGACAATTCTCCTTTCACTTTTACGCGAAATCGAATTTTAACCTTCAGCTGTCGATTTCAATCTCCTTCCTTTACACCGATATTGACAGTCCCTCCGATCGAATCAAAGTAATCTGCATATTGAAATTATTACCGTTGACAGAATTCGATTTATAATAAATCAAGTTATTTGTTTTTGCAATTTCGCGAATTTGCATTGTTTTTCAGTGTTCTAAGCTAACTTTCGGATTATTTGATGAGAAATTACAGAGAGTTTTTATCTACACTTTCATTTAACTTTGAGTACGATTTATAAGCTTTTAGAGAAGGAAAATGAAAATTGAACTTGTTACAGGCGATTGAGCTAAGAAAAAAGCAAAGACAGTGTTCAAATGAAGAAAATCCATTATAAGAATGAAAAGGAAAGATAAAATTATACAAAATTAAAAGAATTAACTAAAATTATGCAGTATAAAAATTGTACTTGTTGCAATCAACTTAGCTGATTACAGCAAAGGAAGTGTACAAACGAAGAAAATAAAGGAGGTATTCATTTCTTCGTATAGTATTGAGTAATTAGTACACTGTGTATTTTATGCATTTATGACAAAAATAAGTAATTGCAAATTGTAATACACGACACATTCAAAGAATTGGAAAGTGCTCATATATTACTATCATATTGAAGGAAACATATTGAAGGAAAAACGAAATTGCAAAATGTGTTACTTGTTCTAAACGCAGACACCATACAAAATGAAGCAATGTAAAGAATTCAGTAAAATTATGCAACACCAAAATTGAGCTCGTTACAAGTGATCAGGAATTCAATGTTATATTTAAGATTATGTAACCTGTTATGTTTCTAGTGATGTTACAATCTGTCATACAATGTAAAAATATAAAAATATTAGAAGAATTCAGTGTAATTATACAGTACCAAAATTGAGCTTGCTTCAAGCGATCAAGCCCAGAAAACTATTGAAAATGTTTACATGAAGAATGCATAGAAGGAATTCAGTGCTTTGTTTAGTATCGAGTAAAACTCGTATAATGATGCAAAACAGTTAAAAGGTTGAAAGATTTGATTAACATTGAGCAGTATTTCCGAGCATATTGTTTTCGATTGTTCCTATCGCTTCAACCGAATCAGCTCCAAATGGAACACAACATCGAGAATATTTTATTTTTATTAAGCTATAAAACCCCTATTGGGGGATTATCAGCAGCATGCACAGTGCCGTGCACGCTAACGTTACACGAGTAACAAGCACCCTAGGGTGCACAAATTAATGATACATTTCTGAATCGGAGAACATTCATTTTCCCCAATTAACATCGCATGCTTTTCAGCGGTAACCGACAGAAAATAACGAAATTCGTAAAAAGCGACATAACGAAACCTCGAGACAACAGCACATTTTCGCTGTTCGAAAACCGCGTGAACGACTCACGCGTCACCCAGACAATCTAAAATCGTTCCATGCCGACTGATTCGCATGCCACTGTCCCGGCTTCATTCATGCAGCTGAATGAATCCGGCCGATCGATAAGGACAGCGTAGCCGAGCAGTCGCGCGCCGACTTCGGCTGAAATATTAACGGCGACGTTTCCGACACGCCGCGGGTTCAACGCTCAGAAGTGAAAGCTCTCGTTAGCGCGGTTAATGTCGCTCATTTCGGCGGGCCGTTTGCGTCCCGTCGTTCAAGGCCACCGATTTTCGCGGGTCTACGCCGGGCTCGGCACTCGCCTAAACCCTAATTTCCTACGGAACCACGGGCCAATTAATTGACCAACAGTCGCGCTCTGTTTGCATCCAGTCATTCAAGGCCACCGGTTTTCGCGGGCCCGCGCCGCCGCGACGCGTTCACCACTCGCCTAAACGCTTATTTTCTGCGGGGCCTCGAGCCAATTAATTCACCAACAGCCACGCGTGTTTGCTCTGCCGGTGTTTGCATTACATTAAAACCGAAAGGCGTAGCTTCTT